GTTATCCTTATTTGTGACATAAAATGTCATGTTGGAGTCAGAATCCAAGGCTGTCGGTATGTTAAGGCTGTTTTTAATGGGTTCCGTTTGTTTTTCCTAAAAACATGTCGGACAGCAAGGTTTTCAGATTGTTAAGGGTCGGATTATCGAGTCACGACTGTACTCACAATGTTAGGTTGAAGCAACGTTATTATGTCAGCCATGAAAGTAACGTTTGAAAGTTTTGTCTTGCAGTCGAACATTGAATGAAGTGGTGGAAACAGGTTTGCTTTTTAGAAAGTGAAACAAACAATAACAATAAAACCCTCTTGGTGGAGGTCCAGATGTGGCCCACAGACCGTTGTTTGCGTCCCGCTCTGGATGTGTTGCTGTGTGCGTCTGTCAGGTTTCATTGTAAAGCAGGCGTCCTGTGTTTCCTCTGTTTGTGCCGCTCTGGGCAGTAAAACAGTAAATGAGTCTTATGTAACGTCTAAAACAATCAGCTCCAGTTTCTAACTCGTCTCTGGTTTCTCTGCTTTTTGCTCAGCGCCGAAGTCACTCTTGTAGAAATCCTCATGCATGTATAATTATGTAATTGCGTCCCTGTGAACCCGCTCACCTGTGCAGCATGCATTAATTACTGCAGCACAACATGCGATTACGGCCCCGCCCTGTCCCATTTAGCTGCAGTGCCGCCGGGCTGAGCTGCTGTAATAAGAAACACAGAAACCCTTAAAACCGACACGACTCGCGAGCGGCTCAGGTCCTCCGTCTGAATCCAGCTTGAGCACTGGATCGTTGCATTGTGGCGGTTTATTGTTAAAAAACATGCAGACAAACATGAAATCAGGCCGTACGACTCCACAGAAAACCCTGTAAGAATCATTTTATTAAATAATCTGCTGACCTTTTGGTGTATAACGTGTCTATCAAGTTATCTTCTTGTTTTTTCACATTTCGAAACCCAAAGATGTTGAATTAATGATCATCAACAGGGAAAAAAATCAAATAATCACATTTAAGAAGCTGAGAAAAAGAGCATTTGGGGCGTTTTTGCTAAAATACATGACTTAAGTGCTTCTGTTCAGATTCAGCTCTGCTCCTTTCTGTGCATTTAATGTAGTGGTGAGAATAAGTCCCTTAAATTAGTTTTAGGACGCTTAAGTTAACTCAGTTAAGTTTGCAAAGTTGACACATTTTCAAAAATGTACTTGCTCCTATGTTTAGTTTAAAGTCCTGAAGCCAGTTTCAGTAAGTTCCCTCAGCTTAAATTTAGTTTTGATGCAACAGATGTCACCTCCAGAAGTTTTCCAATGATGCAGCCATTGTTGGGTTTATATCTGAGGGGGACGATTGGGAGCACAGAACCGTCATCACTGACTTTGTCAACTGGTGTGAGCTAAAACATCTCCAGCTCCAGTAAGACGAAGGAGATGGTCATTGACACCTCAGACTGCACCGATGAACGTCCAGGGTCTAGACATGGAGATGATGAAGACCGATAGATACCTGGGCGTTCACCTCAATCATAACCTGGACCAGTCCAACAGCACAGATGTCCTGTACAAGAAGGGCCAAAGTCAACCTTCTGAGGAGTCTGAGGTCCTTTGGAGTGTGCAGGACTCTGCTCAGGACATTTTATGACACTGTGCTGGTGTCTGCTGTTTTCTATGCAGCGGTCTGCTGGGGAGCAGGAAGCACA